ATTCTCTAGATAGATATTGCCATTTGTTTCCTTATTTAATATGGTTTTTCATCTGGAAAACATTTTGATTAATGTTTCTTTTTATTAAAATCAATAAATTTTTTTTTATTTAAAAAAAAAATTATCTGATCCGATTTTTATCAAGAACCAATTATACTTAATTCATTTTTTTAAATTGTTTAAATCACTTCAATAAATAAGTCATAGTAACAATTGATTTATTTTTTTTTCTATACAGAACCATCGTGACTGTCCAGGTTGAAAACCAAAAAAAAGTAATAAATAAATAAACTTTACTTTCTTGCATAGCTCAATGGGTAAGCTTTTTAGCTCCATCCCCAACCCTCTTATATATTGCTCAGATTCAGTAATAGCAATAACCCCAAAAGACCTCCATGCTGAGTTAATATTTAATCGGGCATAGTAAAATATAATTACATCTTATTTAAGAACGAAAATAATATACTTAATTGAATAAATCAGTGTCATTGATTTGATATACTTTTTTTTTTCAAACTGACCATTTTCAATTTTATTATGGACTTGATTTAAAGGAGCATCATAATACAAACCTATTAGATCAGTAGAAATGTTACTTCTCTAGTAATCTTATCCATAAGGCCTTGAATGGTATCGCATGATATTTGCACCATATTTAAGAAATGAATGAATATTAAAATAGAGACCTCTGGATTTCAACTCATTTTGTCAATGATTTTAAGTTCCAAAAAATAAAATCCATATGTTTTAGTTGTGATGTGGGAGGTTTACAAGTTCATTAATCAATAGTCTTTAACTATTACAAAACAACTTTTAAATAGTACTTGGTTTATAGTGATTTTGTAGATGACAACAGTTCATGACCGTAAAAGTAATGCCATTTGTGTTAAATTTCCCTAGAGACGAAAGTTGTAATTGCTACAGAACTTGAGTCGAAAATCAAAAGTACCATCTAAACTTGTGTTAATTTTATTTCGGTTATTGATTAACTGTGAAGAAGTGACTTACGTTATGTCACGAAACGTCAGTAATACAACTTTCTACGCATTGAGATATCACAAAAACATATTTAATATTAAATGAGAAATATTTGTTATGATAAAGGATGATCACTTTGACAGAATTAACGTAAAAGTGAAATGTAGTCGAAAAATGTCTTAGAAACTTTGAAAAAACGATTTAAAGTAAGAGGTTAAGCGTGATTGTAATAGACTAGATGATTTGCAACATTCCGAATTTAAATTACGTTTAACTGAAACATAAGCAGTATTGTGTTCGTATACATGTTTTCTTTATTGGATGAAATAGGCTTCAGTTTTGAAGAGGACGAAAATAAACAGTAACTTTTGAAAGTTTCTATTCATCACACATACAACTCAAAAGTAATAACCAGTATTAATAAGCACCTTTGTTGGCTTGTTTCTTAAACTTTACTTTCTAACATTTTCTAAAGTACTGCTAAGAAGTCCAGAATTGTGGAGCTTTGACGGTGAAAAGTTATTGTAATAAAACCTCATAGTTTAACGATCTTTTTAGATTCTATATCTAAAATAGTGCTTTTTGAGTTTAAAATAATTGGATATGTTTTTAAGAAGCCAAATATAGTGTACTCTGAAGAATGTTACTCATTATTTCTAATGTTTGTCAAGCTAAATGACTAAGTATATATTTATATGTAACATCAAAATCAGATATGCTTTAAGCAAAAACCGTTTCTTTTGGATATTCATTCTGGGTAAATGAGAATAAGTCTCAAAACTACCCTCCTAAATACAAGTTTCAAACTAACTGACATATATATTCATGAAGCGTGTTCACAAACATTAGGACATTGATTTTTGTTGTGGGATTTCAGTCGATATCACTTTCGGAAGCTGAGAGGTTCACATACTAGTCGGTCAATTTGTATTCAGCACGATGAAACGATCTTCATTTAACCACTTCTAGATGTTGATCCTGACATTTCCAGCTATACACATTAGATAGAGGTCTATCTAAAATGTTATTAAAACTAATGAATACTAGAATTATCGATTATTTTTTGATTAATATAGATCAAATTAATCAATGATGCACTTATTATGGTGTTTTAATGTGTTTGGATGTTTTTGCCAGAATGAAGGTTTGTGGAAATTGTAGTAAATTAATGGTTGAATTCATGAGTCGATTAAAGCTAGACCACTATGGAAAACCTGAAAGCAATGGACGACCATTTCGTCCTAGTGTGGGACTCTTCAGCAGCGTGCATCCACGATCCTGCACGCTAGAGTCAACCCCAGAACCTTCGATCTCGCACGCCAACGCCTAACCTCTAGATTTGTATTATTTTTGAAAAATAAAAAGGAAATTCAAAACTTCTTGTCGAACTACGATAACTCAGAAGAAAAATAAACTTTTTAGAAAATTATAACTAAAAATAATACATTTGTAATATCCCAATGAGTAGAAAATTAGATTTTCTGACGTTTCGTGACTTAGTGTAAGTCACTTCTTCAGAGAATAAACAACCAAATTAAAATTAATCCAAGTTTAAATAGTACAACGGAACAATGTACTATTTAAACTTGGATTAATTTTAATTTGGTTGTTTATTCTCTGAAGAAGTGACTTACACTAAGTCACGAAACGTCAGAAAATCTAATTTTCTACTCATTGAGATATTACAAATATATTATTTTTATTTATAACAACCTGCCCAATGCTCAATTTATTCGAAATTATCAAATCAAACCTTGGTAACTTTTAGAAAATTATTAATGTTTTATGATGCATTCAAACAAAGTGTTTATCTTCAGTCATGTATGTATCATTATGTTTCCTTTATGATTTCACAGAACATAAGACTATACGAAATATTTTTATTAAACCTAATTAAAGATAAGTGTTATGCAAATTTGTTGAATTTCAATTTGGCAGTAGTAGACTATTAACTTTGAAGTATTTCAAAATATGTATTATACTAAATACCAGAGAAATTTATCAAAACCATTAGGATAGTAAGAACTTAGTCTACCAGCTTCGTTAATTATCGCATTCCATAAAGCAAATAACGATAATACCTTTAAATTACTTCCATTCATGTAAATCTATCTGTTTTCTCCCACTCTAATAACTTAAATATATATTAGTGATATAATTAATCATATAGAGCAATCCAAGAAATTCAAATTCCAGTGAGATATTAATGTGTTTTGCCAGCGAGAATTTAAATTGGTACTAGACAGATGAATTTATTTCAAAACGTTTTGGTACTACTTGTCTATGGTTTCATATTTTATAGAACCTATTCAGGTAGTATAAAATACTTGGTACCTCCAACCTAAATTGGTATCTGTTGTTAGATGATTCTTTTTTTGTTGTCACCTGGTAGATTCTCTCTTTCACTGAATGCTTGTTAGACTTCATAGATCAAGTCTTACCGTTAGGACTTTAGAAAATCTGCCTACAAACTGTAATAAGTGACAATATTACAACTGAGAAATCTACATAACTTAAAACCATTTAAAAACGGTTCAAAGTTTAATGAATTCAGGAGATCTGATTAGTTTTAGTTTTCAACTTATGGGTAATCATCTAAAACCATACTACAGAATTATTCAGTAGTGGATATTCAGTCGCAAAGGTGACCGACAGGCTACAAATCAAGTTGATATTTAGAACAAGCTATCTTATTATTTCATTAAATGGAACATATTGTTTAGTATACTCTAAGCAATTATTCAAATTATCGGTGAGACCATAATTTATGGACGACCATTCAGTGATGCCAAAGAGACCTTATAATGCTAAAACTCTATTTGACTAAATGGATGAGTGAATTTCGCTCCGAAATTCAAGACCTGTTATCGTAAATCTGATTGGTTCGTCCATAAATGATAGTCTCACCAAATTATCTAACAATCTAATATAACAATTTACTTGTAAATTTTTACAACACAGATGTACTTTATACATTGAGAAACAAATATTTATCAGTAGAAATAATAATTTTTATTGAGTTAAACATACAAAATATTTTGTCTAGAATAGTCAGGTTAGTTCGTGAAATAAACTATTAAATTTAACCATGTTCAAAAACATTTATACTAATATTAATGTTATCATCAGTTTAAAGGATTGTGAAGATTGTTAAGTTTTTTGGTTGAGATCATGAACCGATTGATGTTAGACCACCATTGAAAACTCTAAACTGATAACTACCATGTGCTCACTAGTGAATTGCTTCGTGAGAAAGTTCTCGCAGTTCTGGTGAGAAGCCCTGACCAGTGGAGCTAATCCGTGTCGGGTAGAAACAGGTGTCTACCTCAGTACAATGGAAGATGGTCGCGCAACTTCGTGGATTAGTTGAGGTTAGACATTAACACCATTGGATACCGGCTCAGTGGTCCAGTAGGTTTATCATTCGCGCGCGAGACGGAAGGCCCCGGGTTCGAGTCCCGCGAGCGGGATCGTGGATGCGCACTGCTGAGGAGTCCCACAGTAGGACGAGACGGTCGTCCAGTGCTTCCAGGTGGCCTAACATCAATCGGTTCATGATCTCAATCTATCTCATCATTGAATTCTAATGAGAAGCCTCGACTAATGGAGTTTAATCATGTCTAGTGTTAGTCAATTAAACAACAATGTTGTTGGATGATTGTTGCACAATATCGTAAACTGATTAAAATTGAACATGTAAACCATAGGATATTGACTCAGTTTAAACTTTTATTATGATACATAAATGTCTTGGGTTCGATTCCCAGTTAATGTATGAATGCATGTTATTGAGGAGTCTCATATCAAGATGAAACAACTGTTCAATACTTCCTGGCTTTATAATGGTTGTTTAACTAAGATTAGTCTGTCATGTAAAGTATCAACTGAAGCATTATAATTGGATAAAACGTTCGCTTATTTTTCTTTTACAACATTAAACTGACTTTTCCTTCCGAGAATTTAAAATGTAATTCTTTTAGATTTATCTAATACCTTTTAATTATTTCTATTTTCTATTTCAGGTTATGGACATATTGTACCTAAAACCGATCTTGGACGAGCAATAACTGTAATTTATGCATTATTTGGTATACCATTAGTACTTTTATGTTTAACTAATCTTGGTGGATTTTTAGCTAATACTGTACGAATTATTTATTCAAATTCATGTTTTAAATATCATCAACATCGTATTAAAAAGAAATTAACTAAACAACAACATACTCAATCAATATTACCAATAACAAGAGATGAACAATTACATTTAACTAAAAGAACATTACCAAATAATCGTAAAAATAAACTATCAAAATTACATAATACTTTAGAAGAAAATAATGAAACATCAATAATCAATCATTATATTGATTCGAATAAATCGATATCAAAAGAATCGATTAATCGATTAACTATGAATGATTATCATACAGCAAGATTTGAAAAACGTGCTCAATCTATTCTACATACATTAACTAGTTCACAATCAATAATTTCATCAGGTATACAAAAAAAAGAAAGAAAAAATAAAGGAGTACATGTACCAATATGGTTAACATTATTAGTATTTTTTATTTATATGATAGTTGGTGCAATTATATTCGCTAAATGGGAAAATTGGAATTTATTACAATCAGGTTATTTTGTATTTATTACATTGTCAACAATTGGATTTGGTGATTTTGTTCCCGGTATACAAACAGATAAATGGCAAGAAAATTCTACAAAACCAGTATTTTGTTGTTTCTATTTATTATTTGGTTTATCTATGGTTGCTATGTCATTTAATTTAATGCAAGAAGAAGTAAAAACTAAATTTAGACGATTCGCTTATAAAGTTGGTTTAGTTGAAGATTAAATATTTTGTTTCTATGGTGAAAACCTCCTTTTTTTTTAGAAAAAATAATAATACTTATGATTACTTGATTATTATTCATTCTGAAAATTGTCTTCACTAATTTACTCCACAATTTCTCTCTCTAAATGTTCATTAATTCTTATTTATTTGTTTATGTGCTTGCTTTTATTCAATGTGCCTCTAATTATTAACAATTTTATAATATTCATAATGATTTGATGAAAGTCAGTTTAAAATTTAACGTTGTACACATTAATTAACAATAACAATGAACTCAATCATCTCAATGATAATGATAGAAATAATCAATCGTTGCTTTTCAAATGTAAAACTGTAGTTGTGATTTTAAGGTATCTATAAATTTTAGTGCAATAAATATGTATATTAAGAACCATTATAAGAATCTATTGTTCATGTTTATTATATATGTTTACCTGTTCTATCCTTTAGTCTTATTTTCTAAATACTTATCTGTATTGCCAAGAAGACATAATTAGTATTTGGAACCTTTATTCATAGTACATTCAAATACATCTAATATAAATATTTACATATAATTCTATTCCTTCTTCCATTCCCATTCAAAGTGAGAAACTTCACATGAATATTAGTAATTAGAATGAAATGAGTATAATGTTTTTATTAAAACCAATACAACTACGTAATTAATGAATATAACATTCATATTATTAATACGTAAAGATTAATATTCAGTTATTAATGAAAATGTAGAAATGATAACTAGTTATAACATGGATAAGCAGAGTATTCATATATATATATATATATATATATATATATATATATATATATATATATATATATATATATATGAGCATGGTGATTGTGAGACAAGAGGAGTTTTGATTTTTTGCTTGAATTAGTATTTATTCTGATTCGTAACTACAAGTAGATACCTGTAAACATTTTCTTTCAATATCTCAATCTAATTTAATTTCTAAACATTCTGTTTTCTTAATACAAAATTAGTGAAATAGGTTTTCTCATTTCCTTTTCGTTATAATCAACGAATATATATTTTAGTGGGATGAAACATTGAGACAATGTAAGTCATACATGTAAAGAACAATACAAATGATCTACAATACCACATCTTTCACATATATTATAGAATGAAAACTAGACAGTTGGTTTAGAAGTGATCGAATGATAATTAGTCATTCTTGTAAATGCTGTTCTGTCATACATATTCTAGATCTTTATAAATGAATTTTATGATAAAAGCAGTGTTATGCAATTCTTTATATGTTATGTTCAAAATTCCTTGTTCTACTTGAGTATATACTGACTAAAGTTATTCTGTTTATCATTACGTTTAAATATTGCATGGTAGTTCTTTTTCTCAGTAATGAAATATTTGTTTAAATAAAGTAATGAAGATAGATGCATTTGATTATACAGAGTATTTGCCCAAAACTGCTCCAAATAATTATAGGTTGTTCCATAGAGTAATCAACTTTATAAACCTACTTTCGTAAAACAGGATGTTGTAAACTTTGATTGTTTCATTCCACTAAAAAACTGACACATAAACAAGTATAATAAAAGGTTACTATTAGAGGAATTTAACTTTTTATCGTTGAACCAAACGTTCATCATACTAAGGCCTAGTTATTTGACGATATGGACTGAATCATCATAATGTGGCTACATTTTCAGAAAGCAACAGTGAAAACACCAATCGAAAATATAAAATTTTTTTTAGGATAATAATAATTAAGTGATTAGGACTAGAAAACTTACCTAATCTTAAAGTAATTATTCAAAGAGCGAAATTGACAACATTTTGATGATTTATTGGCAAACAAGAAAGGATGAAATCATACAGACTAACATTCATAAATCAGTCACATCGAGAAAAGTAATAATTATCTAGGTAACTTAGAAATTGAAGTGGCCTTAATTAAAATTAAGAGATTCAATTGTTCAAACTCGAAGTAAAATCATTATCATTGTTATTAATGGCTTTATTTAACATTACGTGTTTGGTATGATATAAAATTCTCAGCGTAAAGTATTCCAACAAGTTTCTTTTACAAAACAACACAAAAATACAATTACTGTATACATACATGCGTAAATTAAGTTAATGAAATACCTGGAATTAAATGAATTTTTTTTAAATCAGTTTAGAATCTGTACAACTCTTTATTAGGAACATGTTTAATAATACAAGTTATTGACTACGTCACCTCTAACAACCTATTCGTCACATAGTATATCTGCTAGATAAGGTATTGTAGAGCTTCTATATCGTTGCTTACATCCATAGGTTCTAATGTATTGGTGTCTCGGTTTACCAGAAGATATACAAGAAGTGCAACTCATTCTATAAATTATGTGCATCACTTGTCTTTATTTAGTTAAAAGTGGATCTCAGTAAAAGTATTACAATACAATATAAAAGAAAACTATGCGAAATTTCTGGTCTATGAAAACTAGATCATTGTCTAAATGGTAATTTTATATCAGGTAACATGAATTATATATACCAAGACTCTGTAAAGGCTTAATTTATGACTTCTAAGTGTCGATTAAGATTCAGAATCAAAAATAGTATCCAAATTGTGTTATTCTAATTTATTAATTAACTGTTACAGATTTGTAAAACCTAACCATTAATAGACTAATTTGCTGCTTAATAGATAAACTCCACCCTCGTTTGCAGTTTTGACTTCGCAACCGGCAACTAACCAAAATGAAGCGGAAATTATTATTTAAACTATCATAATCTCTGTTAGAGGCCGTGTTTCGTCATCTGTCGTTTTTGATAGCTTACATCAAAGATGTGAAATCTTCTAAGACGAAAATACCACTCCGTCATAATACGGATGTTTAAACGTAGCTCAGCCAGTCAAGATAAAAGAAAAATTACAACATAAAAAAGACATAACTCAATTGACTAAATAAACGAAAATATGATCGCAATTACTGATTACAATACACTTAGATGACTCAAAAACGAAAAGTTTATCCCTAGCCAAGTTTTAAGTTTTCTTTTCAAACCACTTATAAAGTAAATTTTACAGGTTATAAAAGTAACTGCTTATGGGAACGGAATAAAATTTATTGATCAGTTAATGTTTACAATCAGAACAATTCATATTTAATCTGTATTCCACCGAATGGAGAAATCAAAAGTGATTACTATTTTGTTTCTGTTTTGCCTTTTCTATTATTACTTTATTTTCACATAAAACTATGCATACTTTCGTAGAAACTTAGATTCATTTTTAATCGATTTATTCCTCACATTTGTCTAGAAATGATTTATAATTCGTATTTAATACTAAATAAACTGTATAAAGTTCATGAGTCAATTGAAACTAGATCACCATGGGGCATCTGGATGAACTGGACGACCTTTTCGTCCCAATATGGGGCTCCTCAGCAGTGCGCATCTTACGATCCCACCAGTGAGATTCAAACCCATCGATCTTGCGCGCAAACGTTTAAGCTATGGACCACTGAGCTGACATCCAATGGTGGTAATATCTAACTTCAACCAATCCATGAGACCGATAGATTCTAGGTTTGAATCCCACGGGCGGAATCGTGTATGTGCACTGCTGAAGAGTCCCATACTAGGACGAAACGGCCGTCCAGTGCTTCCAGGTTTTCCATAGTGGTCTAGTTTCAATTAATTCATGAATTCAACTATTAAATTACGATGGAGAATTTTTAAAACCAAGGTCGCAGTGAGGAGTTGATTTGTCTTAGTTTTAAAATTACCCAATGAGTATTTAACCAATTCCATACGTCGTATGTAAGCTAAAATATTCAAATTTCACGACAGACTTGTTAATTGAATCGATTACTACAAAGAACCAAGAAGCAATCAATAATCTCATGTCATTTCTTCCGGACAATTATCAGGATGTTACCTGTCAAAAATGAACCTTTCTGTATAATTTCTTCTTCACTTTCAGATTTTATTTTTACATTTATCTTTGCTTATTTTAAACAAATTGATCATTTTTGTGCTTGACACACTCGCAAGTGTTTGGTTCAATAACCATAGAAACTGATTAGATGTTTAAACACCTTATTCTAAGCTGAGTATTATCAAAGAAAAAACTTTTGGAGGGGAAGGGAAGTATGATCGAATCGGTATCTATGTAACATTTTATAAAGTAAAAAAACGTGAATAGATTAAATCAATAGTCAGACCTTATTTCAAGGAAGTTGGTAATATCAGTGCTACTAATTACAGTTTGGTTAAGTCTAAATCAGCCTGTTTAATGTTCATACACCTACTGTGTTTGAGTAAGACTATATAGGTTGACAGTCTCTAACTAATACATATCAGTATTACGAAATTATTCATTGTTATAGGCTCAGATTGTTGATGATAGTGTTTGTGCTGTTACTAACCAACTATCTCTTCCCAACTGTTTTCTTATTAAAGTTGAATGATGAATTGTTGTCATCAGTTCAATCGTTTATTGTGTCTCAACAAACAGTAATGAATATCATTTAGTTTTGTGTGTGCAGAGAAATCCTTCGACCATACCAATTGTTAAAAAGTCCGTGATAATTTCGTTGGTGCTAATTATTAATTCCAATAGTTGAAATTATGAGTCATTTGAAGCTAGACCACCATGAAATACCTGAAAGAACTGGAAGGCTGTTTCGTCCTAGTGTTGGACTCTTCAGCAGTGCGCATCTACGATCCCGCCCCTCCCCAGCAAGATTCGAATCCAGGGCCTATCAGTCTCGCGCGCGAGCGCTTAACCATTACACCACTGAGCTGGCTGGCATCCAACGGTGTTAATGCCTAACTTCGACCAATCCACAAAATCGCACCGCCGTACACCATTGTCTTCAGTGAGTTGATATCTCACAACAGACATGGTTGAACTCCACGTGGATGCGCGCGGCTGAGGAGTCCCATACTAGGACGAAACGGCCGTCCAATGCTTCCAAGTTTTCCATGGTGATCTAACTTCATTTCGACTATTGAAATTACTAAAATATTCACGAAACCCCTTCTGATAATCAGTAATACAATTGTGACTATTCTCGTTTAACAAATTTAAATATGCTATGTCACTTATAAATATTGCCAATAATATTCATCAGATTTACAATTGTTAACGTTAAGGATTTAATTTTGATCAATCTATTTTGATGTATTTTCATCCTTACCAGATTACTTCAGTAATGGCATTATCCAACATTATTTTAAAACGAGTTTAAATAGTTTAGAGAAACAAAGTAGAATGTTTAATACAATCAAAAACAATTCTAATCATGATAAATATCATATCATTTTGATTAAGGTGTTCCTGTAAGACATACTCCTTTATATTTGTGTATATCTTAGTGGAAGTACTTATCAACCCTTGTTATAAATATGAACTTAGAAACTGACACATAACTGATTGTATTTTTACTAAACATTCTATTTACCCATTAAGAATGACAAATCATATATGAATGAAAATGGTATAAATCAATCATATATTAACCATTGTCATCGTATTCTTTATCCATTTTAAAAAAAACTTTTCGTATGTCATAAATCTGTCGATTAGATTTATCGTACAGAAAAATGACAGTTTTCATCTTCTGATATAAACACTAAGTTGGTTAGTGATTCTTTCATTTAAAATTTATCCTATTGATAATTAGAAG